CCTGGTTTTCCTTAGCTTTGAATATCGCATGTTCATCTGGAGGTTATTGGTTAACCGAGCTTGAAGATTGTAATCTATATTCAACTTCCACATTTAATTCCAGACATATATCTGTGTCAGAAAATATTCGAATTCTAATTATGTTAATGCACATGATTGGATTGATCCTTACGGAGATAGAATTTATTTTGAATTAGAATTAACCCGCGAGTTCGAGAGCTAGACTCCCGCACGATTGGTTCCGCACCATACACTAGGATATAAACAAATTTTGTACCCTTTTTTGTATGGCCCTTACCTTATAATTTGTATTCATTAGCTCAGAACCCAAAAAATATGATCAATTAGCTGAATTGGTACAATAACATTACGTAACGTTATTACAAATAAGTACTGTTTGTAATCCGATTTCAATTTTAGAGAGTCGAACAACAAATTAATTTGTGAACCGACTTTCCTTTTGGGAGTTCAAATCGCGTTTAAAACTAAAACTTTTTAATGAGCAAAGAAATTACGGAATATTTGTGCCCCTTTACGCTGACGGATTGTGATAAGTGTTTCTTTGACAATTCGCTTCTTGTGATCTATCCGGTAGATGAGCGGTTTGTTTTGGTCTTGTTAAGGAATTACGTGAACACTAACAGATAGATAATAGGTTTATGAAAAAAAGACCTTACATATGGAAGTCAACTTTTACAACTGTATAAAAATATTACGCCTTCCCAGGGAAACAATAAATTATTTCGTTCGAGCAAGGCATTAAAGTCTGATCGGCGAAACGGACACAGAAATGTGTTCCCCCCTTGCCCCACGGGGAACGGGATTTCACTTTTTACTTCTACGCAATAACCACTAAACAAATTTCGATGTAATTGTAAGAAAAATAAGTCACCATAACACCGACAGCGATAGTTTACTGTTCAATTTCTTTTTATATTTTACTACCCACTACGTACTCCTCATTTCGTACTACCCAATTACAAAGCATGTGATTGTATTTAATTACCACCGAAAGAGGCCAATTGTTATCTAACTATTATGTAGTAAGTCAGTTGTGAAATTGCTTGTAAGCTCTGCATCGCTCCGCAGAGATAATTAGTCAATTGTACGTCTTAGCGCGAATTTCCCCTCTACAGGTAATTAATATTATGCTGCGAACATATTAGCGCGTAGAGCATTAGGCGAACGCAAATTACTATTGTTAATTCTTTTATATTTAAAAGTGAATGAATAAAACCTTTAGTTACTAATCTATAGTATACTTGGTAATATATTCAAAAAGAATGCGTAGGTAGCTTATAATTAATTACTTACTTATAAAAGTTATACTACTCACTATTTTAATAAAACGTAATCAATAAAAAGTAAAGAGTTATGCAACATCAAAAACAAAAATTTCTCCGTCAAATTAATATTGTATGTTATATAAATATGTGTGTTTGCTTAATAAATTCGGCATAATAATACATTTTTGCTCAGGCGTTCGTAAATTCAAAAATAGGATTTGTTAGATTTAGGAGCCGCAATATATTCCCATGCTATATAATACTTTAACAGTTTATAGTACGCAGACCCAAAATATAGTAAGTACAATATATCTATTGGTTTTTGTGGTACGGTTGGCAATTCTAACTTAAAATAGTTACACGGTATTGTTAATCGATATCTTTTTTGCAGATTCATGTTTTTAGGATGTCTGGTTTTACGATCAATAAAATTGCGATAGCTTGGTGACAGAGAATTCTGATTGTTGAGGTTCTGATTTTTGCAATATTTCTTGTTTTCTTTGTAATCATTTATTTATTGCCATATTAAAATTTTAAATTTTATTGTGAGAGAAACATTCAATGAAAGCATATTAAAATTAATTTATTTTATTAAAGAAACCTACATTTAATTTAATTTGGAGAGCAACCCACCAAAAACTACAGTTTCAACATTGTACATCATGGTATTTTAAAGGTACATTGAAAGTCTATTTAGTTTAAAAATAATATATGACACACGCAAGACCATCTACTGCGATCGTCTATCTAAGTAATTTAGCTACCTTGTCAGCATATTTTTGGTTCAAAAACTGAAAATCTGGATATTAAATATGTGGTAGAAATTTTGAAATTCCGTGCGGCACCAACCACGGTCCACAAATGAAATGGCCGTGAACAGCGTTATCATAAACAAAGTATCGTCGTATGTTTTTACTACGACACTCATTTTTAACCTAAGTACATTTCTAATTTACGTTTCGTCGTGACTCATTAATTTCAGATTATCAGCCTTATAACACACCTGTTGGTTCTCCTTAAGGGCTGACAAATAATTAATAAAGCCCGAATTACCTGTAATGTTCCCGACGCTAATATTTCGCTGCGCGTGAACTTCATACACTCTAAGGACCAAGTTCAAACGTAATGTTAGCTTAACAGTCTCGGGGTGAATATTGAGTTTGCAAACAGATTAACCTCACGATTAGCTGCAGTTGTCTCATTGTCTTTCACTCTACATTCTCTATCTATACCTGTTTAGCCAAACATTTAAGTGTATCTGCTTCAACGTAACCAGGTCATTCTGGAAACCAGCGCTACTGAGTGTGACAAGCATTCAGCAGCACAGCTAAGTCTGGGCCCGATTGCTATTGTTATCTATTGATCTATTATTGATTTACGCATTTTAATACTTAAAACTTACGTACATGTACTCTGAACTTGAATAATAAAAAAAGCACTTTATTTCACAAACGAATCTATAAATATGTACATAAAAGTAATATAATATTTGTGCAAGGGCGGTCTTATCGCTTATGGCGATTTCTTTTAAACAAGCTTTGCATAGAGAAAGAATAATATACTAGTAAAGGAGTGCAAAGGCAGAATTATTCAATTAGTAAAATTAACATAACACTTAATAAAATGCAAAAAAAAAATATCCCAAGATTCAAACCCATGCAATAACCCATACAAAGCAATGAGTTGTAGCCAACGAGTATTGTGGTAGAATTTTGCATTAATGTGTATCTAATATGCACATAAGGATAAACACACTTCTAATCAAAATAATGCGATTAAAAAATAGTAAAGAAATATTCACACTAACCTGGGTTCGTTTAATTGCGTAAAACCTCTTATTATAGAAAATCAGAAGTGCAGTCTGAGATAGCACGATCGTAAAGTTTTATGCGAACACGCAGCCTTCGAGGATTTTGTATAACCACTGCTATTTGTTTCCTTTGTATCTTGACGCCATTTTGAAACTCAATATAAATTTTTATAATTACCCTTTTTTAATATAGAGGAGGACATAGAAGCACGAGGTTCACTTGATGGTTGGGGAATTACCTCAGCTATATAACATTTCAACAAGATGTGTTGTTGACCTATTTTGGCTTTGTATATTCGGATTTGTAATTTCATTTCGTCGAAAATACATTTTGAGGTGACAGAAAATCTAATGATCCATCTAGTAATATATTTTTCTGTGTTATGTTTTTAGTAATTAAGAAATCGTATTTCAGATATCAAAATTCGACGATTTCGAAAATTATAATAATCTAAATTTTAATCATAACTTGGGTTTACAATAATTCGTGCAACTAAAAATGTCATATATTTATATGTAATAGTTTTTAAAATACAAAATATTTAATTGTGAAATATGTACATGTTTGCTATCCGTATTAAAGTGTAATTTTTTGTTCGAGTTAAAATAAGAAACGTAAAATAAAATAAAATAAACGATATCTATTTCTTATTTCAAAATATATATCCATGCATAACAAACCTCGATATATTTAGTCCCTTAAGTTAAGGTAGAGTAACTACAGAAGTAGTAAATTTTCTTTTTACTTCCCATACTATAAGTTACAAGATGTAAATAATTACAAAGTTAACAAGCAGAGTTTATCAGATAACTAGATCCGTGTGTTACTGGACAGCTTCTGTCTTAGCCATTAGTGGATTAACTTAACGGTCTATCTTGGCTTAAGAGTATATTGGTTTTAACATTCTAAATACCAATAGGGGTAAGATGTTTTTCCTGCATTTACGATTGGACTACTAAATCTTTCGGAAGAAAACCAATTTTAGTGTGGAAATTGAAGTGTGCTACGATCACAATGGACTATGGGCGCTAGTCCCATATATTCGACAGAGTATTTTAATACGCAGCTTAATTAGTATGGGCGTAAAATGTAGACAATGACAAAGCTTGAAGAAAAAAGATATTAACATTAATTTTATGTGTAATGTAGAACACATTATACATAGAAATAATAGTAGATCAGAACGTTAGACAAGAATTTTCACAAGACATACCTGTGAAACTGTTTTTTCGCCAGTGACATCACCTTTCACTATTCAAATCAGTATAAATTCTTATTTTTGAAATCTATGCTAATATATAAAGCTGAAAAGTTTGTTTGTTTATCGGTTAGAGCATCGAGGAAGGTTAAAATGATAAAGATGAGGATTTTGATAAATTTTGATGCTCAAAATAACTACTCTACGCGGACGAAGTCGCTGACACAGCTAGTTATTATATTAAACCGGTTTAACAGTATCTTTGAAAAGTAATATCGAAATTCACACGCTTACTATAAACTCAATAAGTAGGTGAAATTATGGTATGCGTTATTCATGATTGTATACATTCATTAAGAATATCGCGGTTATTTCGCAAAGCTATTTATTTGGTTTTCGAACTGTTTGGAAATGATTCTCGATGTTGCGCGACAGCTAGTGAATAGCGTTCTCCGACTTTATTTTTATGATAGAGTACGACAGACTAAAATGGAAGGAAAATGTTCACTTAATGGAAGGGGTGAATGAAACTTACATATTTTACATAGAATGCGTTATCAACCTATTTTGGCTTTGGACGGACGGATCTGTGGATGGTGGATCCTGTCTCGATCTATATTATTAATGCATTAATAGTATAAGTGATTTACACATCCGCGTTCTGCATAAAACAACGTACTTGCACAGCGTCTTAATTAGTGACTTTTATGATGTTGTCTTTTGTCGCATCGCAGGTTTTTGGGATTCTAAGTCGAAAAGGTTAATTTATAAAAAAAATGAACAGAACTCAGCGAACTAAGGTCGTCTCGCGCTTGGCCGGTAATTAAAAGTTTACGTTGTTTTTTTTTATTGACCAAATTTAGCAGAGGAAGAAGTGAGTATTTTTTATATTATAATTGCACCCTTCATAAAAATAATTATATTAACATATCTTAAACATGTTCTATATGAGTCCTAACTTACCATCATGCGAGTCGTACATATAGATGATTTCATCCCATCCATAATGATGTATGACATCTATAATCGCTCGGTGGTAATCCGGTCGCATGCTGACTGCGTGGTCTATCAATCCGGAAGATGGAGGGATAACCTGCAACAAGAGTGATGTTAAGAAAATAAACATACACATTATGGAACAAACCGTGATCAATGTTAATTATTGGAACGTTCGGATTACTGGATTGTATTAAAAATGTATATTATATACATACTATTTAAATACTGTCTTTAGTTTACACAAGTAATACACATTAAATAAAACTTTACCAGTTTTAAGGGCGAATATATATAATTAATTTATTTGACTAATTACTATTTAGTAAAAATAATTTAATATAAATAGAGGTAAATTTGTTACAAATGGACGGAATAAATTTTGATGACTAAATTATCACAGAAAAAACTTAACGTAACACAAAAATATTTCTTCAATTCGAACCAGCACTTCCTCTAACTTAACTCTACAGCTTTATAATATGAGTAGGGTTCTAAATCGACTTTTTGCCACACGTTTAAAATTTTTCGCGCGAAAGGGACGGAGATGTAGTAGAAACAACTCACCTTTTCAGGAAACCAGGGCGTAACAAAGGGCATCTGAAAAGTGTTCGTGTAGGAGTGCAGTGTGTCGAATGATTCGGGATTCACCGCGCCCAGCATCGCAAACACACCTCTCGCAAATTGGGTGCAAACTGTGTACAATAGATTTCAATTAGTCATAGCCACAGAATACATAAAAAACAGAAGGTATATCTATAGCCAAAACAGGTCGACAGCGAACCTTGTTTTGATATTATAGTTGGGGTATTTTAGCTCCCATTAAGTGAAACCATGCTTGTCTGTCCTCCTTTATTAAAAAAAAATGTTTGATTATAACAACGTGGCGCTCTATGTCTAAATATCTCATAAATTTTACACCACTATACTATCTTTCGGTATATAAGTGTACATACGAGTTTTTTTAACAATTTTTTTTTTTTATAAAAGTAACTCATTAATTTTATCATTTGGATCTCCTACTATTAACTGCAAAAAGTTTACTACACTAATTAAATTGATTTTACTATAATAAAATATTTAAACTTAATCCTCAAGTATTGAATTCAAACACACAAAATTATATATCTGTCTATTTTATTGTATTTTGTAGTATGGCAATAAAATGTGAAATGTTTAATTGTCTAACATTTCACACTTTAGGCTTTTACGCTTTAGATACGTTATGATGAACCTAAGGATTAATAATAGTTATGTTTACAATAGATGACATTTATTTGTGCTAAAGCTTCAAAAATGTGACAAAGCGAATTCACGAATTTCGACCTGATTCGTGTCCCCGTTACTTACTTATATTTCTTCCATATTATGTTAATAACCAGTAAACATCGATGGTACCAAGGTATGAAAGCATTAATAGCATGTTATTCTCTATTGGCTTAATTCCGAAATTACTATCCAGCAATCTCGCTCTTCTATGTTTGGTAAAGCATTTGTGTTAGCTAACATCAGGATCAATCTAATATTTACTAGGCTTATGAATCGCAATCTTTCTATGTTTTTTCTAACTTATCAAATTACCACAACAAATATGGCCAACTGAGATTTAGTGATAACTTTTTATCGAGTTATATATCGATCAAGTTACAAATATTAAATCTTACATTTTATTAGCAAAGCTGAATAAACGATGAGAGGAATTTGAAAAAGTCTGAGTTACCACAGACGTTTCTTATAAGATAAATACATTAACCCACTTCATCTGCGTCTAGTGTGGTATAGAAATAAGTGTGGGTATATAATTACACAAATTTGTCATTTGTCTTCAACTGAACGCTTACCTAGAATAATTATCAGAATTCTAAGCCTAACTATTATAAATCTTTGCCAAGCTTGATTGGGGTCTTAAGCTGAGTATTACAAGGTTATTTTTGCATTGGTGTGGTATCCAACAGTGTGGATTCTATAGCAGTTAATGAAGACAATTCACTTTATTTTCGACTTCATTAAATTTAGCCTCCTTGACAGGCTTTTAGGATAATTACGTTAAGGTACAATTTAAGAGGCGCTCTGACTTTGGAGTAAGGAAGTAACGAACTTTGCACCTTGTCGGTGTCTTGTGAAGCTAGGCTTAATGACTATCCTTTAGGTCTTAGACAAAGTCTAAGTCAAAGTCAAAAACATTTATTTACGTAGGTAACTAGTTGCCTAGGTACAGTTATTAACGTCACATCATTTTAAAACGGACTCGTTGGTCTAATGGCATTTAGCAATGGCTAATAATCAATGGGTCGTGTGTTCAACCTCGACCGAGTCCAAAATGTTTTTAAATAATTTTTATGTTCTTCTAAAATACGCTATGCGCTTGGCGTGGTAAATTGTTGTGATGGACATATTAATGTGTCCGTTTCACTGAACGGTTTTTTTTACATCCAGATGGAAAATTTATATACCAAAAATAAAATAGGCTTTTATATTTTATATTATATATTGGTTCTATAAAAAATGATGAATCACGTCTACGTGTGAATGTCGAATATATTTTCCTCGTAAAAGCCGGCATCGGTTAGAAGAAGAACTGTCAATCATTTTATTTAAAACGTGCATTCGAAATATACGGAAAAACGGAAAGTGAATTTTTCTTCGGAAAGTACTGATTTTGTTTATTAGCTTCTGGTCTGCCAATAGAATTGAAAAAATCTGGTAAAGGCAACCACAATCCTATAAAATACCGCTCGTGATTTCATTCCACTTCCTACTGCAGATTCAACTCGTCGAGTTAAAAATTATTGCAGTGTTTGACAATTTCGTCACCTCTCTTAAATATATTAAAATCGTTATCTTTGTGAATTCGCACTATTTTGGTGAGAAAGGCCGCAAATCCAACTGTGAAGGATGGTTTTTTATCAAAACCCAAACACTCTGTTGCCGTTGATAAAATCAGCTCAAACAATTTTCGAGCGAGAAGTTGGCGATCAAATAAAAAATTCACAGCTTTTCTTGAAGAGATCCAGAAAAAGCATCCCTTTATTGTGAGTGGCGGAAAGTTCCCATCGTTAGGACAAATAACGCGCCCCGAACGTTCATCCCCTTACGGGCAATTTGCTTTTGTCTCTCGTTTTAATTTCCGCGTCGGTATTTTCAAATTATTATCATTTTTTTCAAGATACGAAATATGCTGTCTTGCTAAGCCGTAACTTAGCCGCATTGAGACAAATAAATGTGATAAGTCTATGCCCTTTCTTGTCTCTGTGCTAACGTTTTTTATCTTTGTTTATTGTGTTGGTTTTTAGGCAAGATAAAATTGTTACCCAAATGGTAACTACGCGATGTTTTTTACGAAAGACAAACAGAATACATATTTTGTTTCTTACAAAAAATCGAGAGAATCTTTATGATTCTTTTTTTGGATAAACTGTTAAATACGATTAATGGTACAATACAAATTTAAAATTTTATTTAGAGCTACTAAGTGCGCGAGGTATTTTACTTTGAGTTCAGTTATCAACAAGGAAAAAACTGCAGTCATAAGTTGCTAAATAATAATTTCATACAAGACTGTAAAAATAAAATAAAATTTCTCAAACCAACCAACTAACACAAAAATTGACCACTTTTTAGGGCTTACCAACATAAGTAAAAAATATTGTTTCTTTTCAATTTATTTACTTGATAAGACTTCTACACCCTACATAACTGAAACAATATATTGTTGCCCCAGAATTAGAGCACTCATATGCGGTTTTGTAATAAATACATCCAAAAGTCATCGTAGCTTACGCAAGAATAAGAGCAGTTTTAAATGAAGTTAAAACTCAAAAGGTCTTATTGCGCGTAAAATTACGAACTCATAAGCTTGGGGTGGTGAAGTTTTGTACATGCAAATTTCGAGCTCTTTAGAACCTCGTATGATTTACAAAGTGCGAGAGGAACGTCTTACTTCAAATTTATGTGGAAAGAGTTAATTTTGTGGCTCAAAATATTGAGAGGCGAAACAAGCACCTGTAAAAAATGTATCCATTCATTAAATGTAACGATACGTTGATACCAAAGGTACACAACTAAACTATGAGTGTAAAATATCAGTAATATTAGTAGCTTCAACACTGGCAGTTAGCAGAACCCGTTCAACTAAAAAATAAATTCCTAATCTGTACTTGTAAACTTTCTAAGGAATCCTTTGACAACAGCTGCCACTATATTACACATTCAAACCTTTTTATTTATTGTCTTTTACAAACTTTCATTTAAAAAAATATATATATGCTCAATTTTTTTATCTAAGTTACTTAAACTACAGACAGATACAGAATTAGCAGTTAGTGAAGTCACGTTTCCCCGCGTGGGGCATGGGGATGAGTTTTTATTTACAGGAAAAATGGTGGATCAGACTTCTGGGTCCTGACCGAAACGATTTACTGTTTCCCGGGGATTCGAACTTAGGACCTCTCGCGCTTAACGCAATGCCAGGCCAAGTAGGTAGAATCAGTGATCCAAGAAGCCTTTGTATTAAACGACTTAGCAAACGGAAATTTAATCTTCAATCCATTGGATACAACGTAAAACATGGATCAGGGGGGCTAATTCTAGAAGGGAAGGCGTTGCTTGAAAACAAGCATGCGAATTGTGAAGTGACCTGTTTGTATACTGACATACTTGTCTCGGAACAACTCACTGCTTTGTGCACTTTGATAAACACCATAAATAGGTCGACAGCCTACTATTGATCAATCCTTTAGCACCTTGCTGAAGACAAGGTAGAAAAGGTATTCTGAATTTCTCTTATCCTATTGTAATAGTAATTTATGATAATAAATGACTGACGAGCATGTAGTTCACTTGATAAAAGCCATAGAGCATCTCAACGAGATAAACTGTCGACCTCTTTTTGCTATGGGTGTTTGGTAATCTACAGACTGAAACCGCAACGCGATTAAACTTCACAGTCTTTCCATCTGTGGACAGTGCCCCGTGAGCCAGACGAAAGTTTAGATGTTTCTGCTACCTAACCCGATTTCCATACGAAGTAAAACACGTTTTAGAATTATATATTGTTTAGTTAACATTATTTTTATTCATAGTTATTAGTTTGTATTGTACCTTTTTATTCTCTGTAGTAAGAGTACTGATGGCTGAAAAAGCATTCAATTATTTATAATAACCGCATTGTTGATACATGTTAGACAGAGGAGAGGCCTCGATCTATACATATACGAAAAGTACACCTTTTATGAAGAATTTTCATAATTTATTTTCTATTATTATCTACATATTTAACGAAGAAAAAATTAATTAGTAATTAAAAAGTATAAAATTGAGAATCATAGAGTCGCCATATTGTATCCATGTTGCTTCTGTTATCTCACACATTTATTGAGTTCATAGAATTTTCGCTTCGAATTGTTGAGGGTCTCATCTAATTGACGAAGATTCAGCTTAGTGTGAGATTAGATAGATCGAAAATAGTAGACGAATAGTAGAACTTATATAAAATTGAGATAATAATAAAATGTGAAAATATATGGGGTATTCATTATAAATGTTTTTCGAATTTTATTTTATTTTACGCTTGTTGATCCGTCAAACGTTGTTTTGTTATTTGCAAGATTATTATTATTTTGATACTACTCTAACATATAATTGGTAATTAATTTCAATCAATTTTGATGACAATAAAAACGGTTTTTACGAGACAATCTTAAAACATACGCTGACTGCAGAAAGAGGAATAATTAATACACACAACGCAAGCCATAAGAATTTTCCACTACTTCTTCACTCCTGTTGGTCGCAGCGTGATGTTATATAGCCTAAAGTCTTTCCCGATAAATGGCATATCTATCAAAAAATCGCTCGCTTAAACAAGCCATCTCTTCATTCTATAATATCGTATATATTTATTCGGATTCAATTGTATATAAGTTAATATTGAATTTGTATTCTCTTGGTGTTTTTATTTTCCTGAACAAATATACCATATAGCATCATACTAAATTTACGGACTAACTACCCTTTAGTAATATATTGATGAAGCAATTACGCTAAAATACTATATTTTAAATCCTGAAATCCGTTAAATCGCATTCATTATATTAATAACAATCCCCAAAAGTGTAGTATGGCGCAGATTGTATTTCTATAATCAGTTTAATCTCAATTTGTGATCAGATAAAAGCGTGTATAGTTTTTCAATCAATCGGTTTTGCTTCCATATTAGTTATTACGCTAATTGCATTTAAAAGCCGGGTTCAATTTTCATCGGGTCTAACAAGGTTCTAAAATCAATTCGCTGTGTCGTGACGTGTATTTGCGTTTGAGTTACAGTCTGTGGATTTACGAATATTCAAAACGAAAATATGTTTACGGCACATCTTCTTTAGATGGTCATATTATGTTCTAATTTGTCATAAAAAACGAGTAAGTAGAAAGTTTACTGCTTGTTCTAATTTTTCAATATCACAATCAAGAGTAGGGATAAGTGTAAGTTACGTTATTTTGTCTCTTCTTTCCTATGAAAGAAATATTTAGAATTTGGTTTAATCATTGCTATGCCATTCACAGTACGAATATACCTTTGTTTTGTACAATTGTATTTGAATCGTAATGTGATATAAATAAAATGAATTTTGATTAAACAAGTAATTTAGCTTTATGTATAATTAGAATTTCGTCTGCTTAGATAATTTTCTGTTATATTATGATACAGCTAAAAAAGCATCGGGACAGACGGCATCAGTAGCAGGTTCGAATCTCGTATCATATAATTTATTTCACCCTTCGTATGTACATGATTGTAATATTATATCTATTGCGCGAGAAGTGTATTTATAAAACCGTTCAATTTTTCGATGATAGTGGTAGCTCAATCGGTTAGATCAGCTACACGGATCTGTCGATGGTTCAAGTCTCGTCCTTATCATAGATTTATTTTGATCTAAATAGATTTTAGATTATGTTCGTACTTACTTAGCCGTGATAGTTTAAAAGCATCAGCCGTGTTGATGACATCCACAAATGCTTGCAGCTCAAGTCGACGGCTGCTGATATTCTGGTTGTGAACGGACATTGCGTACTTAAAAACATTCTGTATCTCTTCTGTGTCTTGGTCGAAGATAGCACCTGTGAACGAATCAATAAATATTAATATATATTTACTAAGTCTTAGACCAACAAAAATACGATGTATTTGTTCTAGTATGTGACAGAGATTTGTTCTAGTTGCACTTTGTATCAGTTGCCTTTATCAATCATCAGCGTTAGTTAGCCCTATATTCTATTAATAACCCACTTAAGTAATTCTAAGATAAGCTGGATTGTTATTGGTGTTATCAGACCTGCCCGCATCCTGGGCTGATGTATGGTTTCTGACTTACGGTTATCTCAAGAGGAGCTTTGACCTACTGAACTGGGTACAGAAATGTGGTATAAGCTTTTCACATAAGATAGCCGTAACTGTATCTGTGTTTGTATATTTAAATAAAGTATATATTTTTTAAATAAACACTTCAAATGGCTTAAAATTCTGAATATAATAGTAATTTTTAATCAGTGTTAACTTCGACTCCACGATAAAAATAAGTAAAGAAATTTTCGCTATTAATGCCGTTGAAAATGTTTTAAATTAAATATGTACATACGCGTAACAGACAGTATTAAAATTATATATTTGTAAATAGTTTACTTATTTCTAAGTAAACCTATCGTTTTTAATCCCGAAAATTACTGATAATTCGTATTTTAAACTTAGTTTTTATTTCGGCGGAACCCAGGTGGGGTTCCCCTGTTTGACAAAAATTATTTAAATACCCTCTCGTCCCTTCAAAATTTAGATCATACAAAAATACCCAAAAATTGTTTATCGTATTTAAAGCCTACGTTATACATTATGTATAAACAATTTAAACTAAAACAACAAGAAAATGAAAACTTCTGTGGCTTACTCAGACGAGCGCATCTTTTGTGAGTAAAATTCTTATAAACAAAAAGGACAAATGCACGAACCGCGAACTTTGTCAATACTTGTATTACACAACGAACCCGCGCAACTAAAGTGCTCGAACTTTTTGTGGCTTCCGACTTTTTTCAATCACATATTAACTCGTAGAAGCCATTCCAAGCTACGTTCTTGGCACGAGCAATAATTCTCCAATTTGTGACGTCAATAGTGAACGGAATTCTTATGGACGTACAGAAAATAAGGCCTTTTTAAAACTTGTTAGTGGCATTGCAAGCTTTTTTCTAATGGCTTAAACATGGTCACAATACCTGATTGAAAATTCTTAAGACAGAAGGAGAGAACGCCCGCAGAGGAGAAGAAGCAAACGACAAGATTTAAGAACCCAATTCTGTAGGCTTTACCAGGCAGAGTAACTTGTAATTTTTCCGTGTAATAACTCCCTGTTCTTATTTACTTGTTAAGCGTAAACAGTATCGTAGAATCACATATAAATGTATATATGCCATACCCACGTACACGTTTCGGTTGGGTACGGCATTAAAATTTGATTAACAATATTGCTATAAATGATATGTATAGACTTTTCAAAGCCAAAATGGGTAGAACGCGCATCTTGTTGAGACGTTATACGGCTGGAGTATTTACTCTACCATCACGTGAACCCCGTGCTGGTCTGTTCTCCTCTATCGTAAACATGGCTATGGCCATTTTACAAAATAAAATTAATTAAAGAAATATCCATTATATATGGACCAAACGACCTCATTATCAAAATCGTATTTCGTTATTATTTACCTCGATGTTTGTAACGTTTTTCAGTACGTGAGTGGGTCTTTTACTTTATTTACATCCCATCCTTACGTACATTTTAAAGTGTGCATATACGTTATAATAAATTAAGTTTTAGGATTCTTTTTAAATAAAACACTTTAACGGTTTAAAGCGCGATATATTAGTTAAACTTATTTGAAAAATATTTTTAACTTCAGCCCGAGGTTTCAGTCTCCCCGTCACCACGGCTGCTGCAAAGCATCCGAAACGTCGGGCCGAAGTTTAAAATATTTTTCAAATAAGTTTAACTAAAATATATGGCGTTTTAAACCGTTGAAGTGTTTTATTTAAATATGTTTTATTTAAACCGTTAGTGTTTTATTTTAAAATGTAAACCTTGTAAGTGTCCACGCTATCGCATTAGAACTCTAAGAATAAATGGAGAACGAAAGAAAAATATGAAATCGGAATAAGTTATTCGGGAAGTTGTCAGACATTGTAATTTGAAAATCGTCTCGCGAAGTTATACGAATGGGCGATGAAAAGACGCCTAATTATTCCGGAGTAAACATCGCTTTCTGCTGTCGAGTGAGCAGATCAGAAGTGATACCTGAGCGAGTCCTAACTTCATTAAATAGAGATTTAAAGAAACTTTTTGTGCAACGTTGCAGTATCCGCTTCTTAGCATAATACAACTTGCAATATTACAGCTAAGTCCGCACTATTTCTTTTTACTTCTCCGTATAACTCACGATAAGCTTGTATATTTAATTTTTAATGAGACGCCTTTAATGCTCAACAAAGAGTTTTCAATATTAAAGTTTAGGTATTACCTGTATTCGAGAAGGTTCATCATAAGATCATTAAATAAATAATTAGTTGTATATTGATTGTATATAACCTATAGGTTTATTTAAACATAACAATAAATTAAGATATCGTTTTTTGTACGTTATGACCATAGCAGCACAGCATTCAAAACATCGGGTAGACGTAAAAATAAATATAAATTAACTAATACTTAGCGTTAATCCTTTTTTTATGATTAAGGGGAATAGACAAGCATTGGGGGTTCACTTGAGGGTAGTTAATTTACAAAAGCCATATAACATGTAAACAAGATCCGCTGCCGACCAGTTTTGGCTTTGGATATTCGAAAATCAAAATCAAACGCGATCAAAATTCTTGGTTTTTTAATCCGTGGACGGAGGTACGTGAGCGAGGTACCCCGGATCCGGGCGAATCGTAGTTAAAATATTTTTCAATTAAGTTTAACTAATATCGCGTTTTAAGCCCTTACAGTGTTTTATTTGAATTTTAGTGCCGTTTAGTTATTCCTAAGCACCATTTGTGTCCTGAGTTCTGTGACAGAGGTTAATCATTAATAATATACGACATTAATTCCTCGCTATAAACAGTTATTGGCAATACGTAGCAGTAGCGTATAAATAATTGCCAGTTCCCTTTGATTTAAACTAACCGTTGATCAATTCTGCATTGTAATAAACTAACAATAGTGTGAGGATTGCACTTACTAATTGGAGGGGTACGTGCATTGCGAATGACAAACAGATGAGCAATCAATACTACAGTCTCTAAAGGTAACAATGTATTTTAAAACAAGCAACAAAGTTTAAAGGAAGGACGCAATGGTAATAAAAACCGGGCCAAGTACAAGACGATTTTGCACTAGGTTCCGAATCCATGGCTAGGTAATACGTTTTAAGTTATTTAAAGTGTCTGTTAATATCAAGGCTATTTGGGTATGAATGCCGTCCTATAATCCATTTTATTAATATTTCGACATTAAATAAAACAATATCTGGAATAAATGATTTCATCTGATAATTAGGGGACAATTCAAACCGGATATTCGCTAAACATCAAAATTCGGTTAACAATAGAATTTCGGGCCATCCTTAGTAATTGTTCAAATTTTGCGTTTAGCTGTGTCTGTTTATAGGAATATTTGAATTTAACACGTGCCTGAAGCTCTTGTGAATATTGGGAGTTAACATACATGTTTGCTCCCAAGGCGATATATCCTTCGTAATATCGTTCTGGAATATTCCATCGAGTTTTAGCAAAACAACGATGCCGTGAAAAGTTGTAACAATATTTGCCTGAAGTTGCTGCTAGGGAGTTGCTCTTTTGTTATTTGATATCGTGTATTGAGGAAAAATTGTGTACAGAGCTCGGTGCTGACCAAACGATCGCGTTGTAGTAAGTTACACACGCATTTGTGTTGTCTTTTTTTTTGCCGTAACAGTATGTATTTGCTGAGAGTAATATTTTATATTATTACATTGTGAAACTTTGGTCTGTACCCGGCTTTACAATTTATTATTATATATTATGGCTGACAAAAGAAAGTCGCTTTTTCCTGACGTGTGGACACTGTGTTATTCCTCCCCGTCACTCCGAGACCACGGCTGCTGCAAAGCATCCGAAACGTCAATAAGGAGCCAAATGCAATTTTTAAAACTCCCCATACGCTTGATATAATTAAAATGTTTGTGCACCTCACTATTAAAAGGTACAATGAGACTATCTCTATTTGTGACAGTAAAAGATCTGGCGGGATCTCGAAGTGTTCGTACAAAAATGGTGGCCAAAGCAGTAAGGGAGAGAATTCGTAAAAAAACCTATCCGTAAACAAAAGATTTTCTCCTGGGAGATGAAGATAGCACCTAGAACCATGTCGCGTATTTTAAAAGGTGACTTAGGACTTGCAGGCTATAAGAGACGAACTGTCACTTCTTAGCTAATAATTTACAAAAGAATACGGTGGTAAATTCGAAACAACTACTTAAGCGATAGGCAAGGGAGGTGACAGAGTAATTTTGTTTTTCGGACGAGAATTTTTTTACAATTGGGCAACATTTTAAGTTGCTCGATAGAGTCAACGTGGGCACTAGCCGACTTCAGCGATGCTTTGGTAGGGTGTAAGCTATGAAGGAGTGACTGAGACATACTTTTGTGAGAAAGGTATCAAAACATCTTCACAAGTATATCAAGGTACCATTCTTGAGAAAGTAGTGAAGCCTTTAAACAGCACCATGTTCAATAACCAAGATGAGTCCTTCCAGCAAAAAACAGAGTGGGGTCATAAAGCTCGGGCTACGCAGTCTACCGTTGTAAACGAACGTTTCTGGCTTCATCAAAGGTGTAGACTGGCCGATTGGATTATGATTTATGGTTAGTTTTAGTGAGCATGGCTTGCTCTGAACGCCATCATAATTTGGAGTCACTAAAACAATCCCTACGATTGGCAGTTTAAAATTTTCCAATGGAAAGTGTGCGTTCTGCTATTGATAATTACCCCCAACGTTTCAGGGACTGTATATATATTTAACTTGCTGTATATTTGAGTTTTAAATGAACTCCTGTACAAATAATAAATGTTATGTGCAATTGAAAAAAATGTCTCTCTTTGTTACAGTCTTTATGGCACGACTAGGTATATAATATCTATAAAACAAGTGACTTACCGGAGACAAAGATCCTACCGCGGTAAGTCGCCAAAATAAAGCAGTGAATGGAAATCAATTTGTATTGAATTTCATTATTTGTCTAATTTCCTCGAACGCATTTCAATGTTTTGTTTAGCTTTTTAAATTGAAAAAGATTCTTAGCGATGATAAAGCAATTGATGTTATTTCTGATTTGAACAAAATAAATTAATAAAGCAAGTTTGAGTCGAACTTACGCTTAAAATTCTGTATCATTGACTTACGAATACGAATTGGTACAAAATCGTTTCGCGAAGTACGTATCCGTTTTTTAGTTATTACAAGTTCCTACTCCTAACAACTTATTGATGTGAAAAAAAAAGTTAAAAATAGCGTAATTTTTCTGGAAAAGTTAAAAATATGACGACTGTTTTATGAATATTTTAAACGCCTACAAATGGCAAAACATAAAGCTTATACATAGTATGGTAGTCTTCCTCAAATAATTATTTAATTTGTTCTTAGTGTTCGTTACTCAGCAGTAATAGAAATAGGTATATGTGAAAATTTTAACCGTTTCTTGTGCTATATGATGTGTATTTCATATTAAATCAAGTGCTCTCACGCTTGTCTTTTTTCATCATAGAAAAACAATAGATCCAGTTGGAATTAAACCCACGGTCCGTTGATAATTAACTTTTTTTTAATTTCATTTGTTTAGATTTGAATGCTTCTTAACTACGTACAATTTTATATTATTTTAAAGTATATGATATGTCCGTTTACCTACCGTGTACTTACGGGTGATTGCGTTAAACGACAAGTAGTTTATCTGCCTTCTATAGGTAAGTGCTGAAATCTAAATAATTCCCGTGGTTTGAATTTGCAATACATACTAATAACGTAAGACGATGCATTACAACGGACGACCATGGAGGCAAACATAACAATGTTGAAACATTTAAATGAACTGTTAATAGGCATCGTTTCTAATTTATTTTGCTTCAATGCTTCAGAGGTACAACAGCGGATAAAGGCTTATATTAGCATGGTGTACGTAGTCCACGGGTTACAGGTTCGAGCCCCGCTAACGTCGGATAAAGCGTAAAATGTAATAAGGCACATTTTTTGTTTTGTTATTTGATTTTAACTAAGAAAAATATAAGTTCATTGAGAATAACTTTGTATCGAAATGATAGAAATCTTTGATATGTTTTAAGTTTAAATAATTTATTTATGTGTATAGAAAGACAATGAATCTCGAAAGCAAAGTCATAATAATTGAGAATTGCCTGAAATGGTTTGGAGTCGTATTAATTACGAAGTTTAGAATAATATAGCTTCAAAAATTAAAAATATCGTTCGACGATAATATCAGTTTTGTTCTGCCAACAATGCTCTATACACAATGAAATTCGTTTATGAAATTGCGTTGAAATGAAAATCCAAAAATACTCAATACTAATAATTAAGTTGATTGAAAGAAAACAATAATTTACCAGTATAAAGGTTTTAAAGGGTTTTAAGTAAGTAAATGAGCAATTAAAAAAAAATAGCATTAATAAAAAACATTATTATTGTTTTACATAACAAATATTATTATAAATAACATTTACAAATAGTTAGGAATGTAATGATAATCGAGACATTTTCAAATGTCAAAAACTTAAAATTGCGGGTGTAAAAAAAAACATGACAATTGACAACCCAACTTAACGTTAAAACTACAGTTTAAATATCTAATTACAAATTATAATATATTCCCGCATTATATACCAATTTTAAATAACTATGTATTCGAAGATGTTCAAATATAGCGATATATTGTAGGGTAGTGAAGTTCCTTCTCAAATATCTCACACATTCCGCTAGAAGTCGCGCTGTGAGCGAGACAGATATATCGGGAAAGAAAGAGAAAATCGATATAATATTTCCACGCTACGAGACGAACAAAGCGAGAAGGAACGAAAACACCAAGAAAAGCACTTAACACACGAAATTTGAACTACGTAAATAAGCAATTAAAACTTCCAATTTAATATACAATAATATTATATGCGTGTTGTATTTATACTATGGTAGAAATAAGTAGAACGTAAAATAAAACGTATTAGTTGAAAAATACTCACCGACAGCGATTTTCTCGACTGAAAAAGTCTGGCCCGATACACCGAGAAGATACAGGCAGACGCCGGCTAGAGCTAAAGCGACCATTATTTTGGCCATTCTATTCAAGTTCCGATAGAGAACGCGGCGCGATCTTCGCGATACTATCACATTATATAGAAGTATTATCGCGATTTATATGTCAAAGGGAGATGGGATAAAGCGTCGGGATGCTGCGTACAAACCTGTGACTAAGGGGCGACTGATGGCGCGCGCGGGTTGGGTAGCGCGGGGGAGGGGCGCCCGCCCGCCCGCAAGCAACCCCCTCACATTGGGAAAATTCCCTCTTCAAATTGTATCAACTTTCCCGCAACTTTACAATCGACGTCTTGAACTATCATCTTACAAGCTAACTGCATCCAAACCAAAATTACGTAATATATAAAAGACTATCAATGTATTTTATTAAACAATTTATAATTTTTTCTGAGACATGTTGGACTTCGTTTGGAAATCTGGATAAAAATTGGTGGTAGAAATATCAAAATTTTGTCCGGGTCCACTAATCCCCATTCACAAATGAAAAAGCCGTTAAATTTAAGCGCGTGTAGGTTTCAGTCTTTGGGTACCGAGTGTTCAAAATGTTGATAGTACATTTTGTTAAGATGTTATATGACTGGGGTATTACACCTTCAAGTCAACTATATGCTTGTCTCTCCGCCTCTGTCATAAGAATATATATTTAAAAATATGATGGTGAAAATGAAGTTACCACCCACTCGTGTTGAGAACTTCAGAAACACTTCTCAATCACCTTTTACTATGAGCAATTTGTATGAAAGTTGTCAAAAGTACTATTTTTTTTTCTGAATGGCTTCTTTGCTCGTCCGTACATAGCACGTGCAAGTGAGGATTAAGTTTTAATATTGCAGTAGTTTTTTTTCTTCTAAGATTCGAACAAACGAAATCACATATATGTGCAAGAAATTCGTGTTAATTTAATATATTTGTAGAAATCATTTGAATTTTAATTAAAGTTATATCTATTATTTAAATTTATTTTTACATACATAGAAACATAATATAAATGTAAAACTTTAATTATTAAATAATTATAAAATTAATTTTCTACTCCTTTTTGAAAACTTTGTAGATTTTCACATACAACATACACTGGCAACATATAAATTCAACAACTATTAAGAAAAAACATCGATGGCACGGGCTGGACTTGAAACGGCACCCACAGCGTTCCGTGTTGCTGCTCTTAGCAATTGAGCTACTACGTCAAAAACGAATTTCTTCAACCACTTATTTTCTGAAAAGATAGAAAATATTGTTCAAGAATTAGAAAGTGCGTTATATGCCCACGATCTTGCTTTTCAGCCATAGTCAGCTATCAATAAGCTCAGAAGTATCTTCTACGAGAACTTTGTAAACACGAGTAGTGGTTTGATTGTGTTATCAAATACCGTTTCTGTATAGCTATACAAAATGATATTCAATGCCTTTGCTTGGTTGAAGCATTCTTAAGTTTGGAAATTTTCGGCGAGATTGTACCAACTTCAACAAGATATATGCCATTTTTTAATCAAACATATTGGCTTAAGTTGTAAAATTGAAAAATTGGGTCCAGAAGAGGTTTTTATGCTTTCCAGGGGGTGGGTAAAAGGTTCATTTAAAATCCTACACATTTTTCTATAGCTAACATAATGTTTCTCACTTATCGCAACAAATTCAAAGTGAACTGCTTTCTCTTTGTAAGTACTTGCTACGTTTATTATATAATAGCGGTTCTCAAATATGATACGAAGGAGAGAGGATGCGCGCGCCGATTATAATCAAAAGACTTTTTTACGGGTAAAGCGTTTTACCCGTTTTCAATCCTTTTCGAGTTCAGTGTTCTAAGAGTTGTAAAATAACCCTTAGGGCGTGCTAGTACGTATACAATAATACCTTAAGTGTAATCAGCATAACAATAATAAGAAACTTCGAGTCGCAATTTTAGTCCAACCTGTAACAAAAATCTTTAGTAACTACCAACTATAAAGTGTCGGTTAAAATAATTTTCGAATAAGTTTAACTGAAAACGCGTTTTAAACCATTAGTGTTTTATTTACATTTGTACCCACTTGCGTAAACTACAGACAGTTTTAACTGTGAAGTGTGTTACAAACATTTAAGTTACTTTATAACATTGAAAATGTCCTTTTATAACACAACAGGTATATCGTAAGCCAAGATTATCCTTTTATAAAAAAAGTGCAGTAGAGTAATTAATATTGCACCTTTCAGTCAATGTATGTCGTTCCTTATGATTGTTACCTAATGACCCTTTTCCTAACTAATTTAAATTGTTTTTAATGTTCACTGTTTGCATAAAGCATAACTCTCTATGTCCTTTGTAATATAAAATACAAAAGTTAAGATTTAGTTGATATAGTAAATTTGGCTATAGATACGAATTTCGATACTACGGTAAACCATTGCCCCCAGTTATAATGACTTATTAATTGTCTATTTATTGCCCACCAATCCACACCCTCATGAGTTCTCTTCACCCAGCCCCGTAGTGGGTCATAAACAGTATGAAACGAAGAGTTGGATATTTGGAATATCAATAATAAGGGCGTCTGTGAATGCGCCTATAAATGTAATTGGGACTCTCCTCTCTATAAGTGATTGCCATCGACTGTGGACATCTGAGACAGAAACGGTTAAGTGGCATTTCAGACTATGTAGGCTGTTAAGCTGGAGATAGCCAATTCCTATCGGAACTCTTCAATTACGTAGATGTACAGTACAACACACCTGCACGGGAAGTTAAATCCATATAAAATTAATATGTGTGAAACCAATTTATAGATGACTGTGTCTCCTTTGCGTAAAGCAATGTTTAATTATACTTAAACAGCTTCGTCAATAATTAAACTTGGTAAATGAAATTTTTGTGATAACGAGAGCATTGTTCATTCTATCATAAAAGTATATTATTATAATACGGCCGAGGTAACTTGGCAAGTCTGAACACAGGTTAGACGGACTTTGGCGCATGTACAATCATAAAGAACACGAATACTGCCATTTATTTTCGTTATTGGGTATGAAAGATTTTACCTATAGCAAGCAAGTAACGTATCAATAGTTGATTCAAAGAGAATAAGGGCTACGAACGCTTATCTTTCACTAAAATGCTGAGACAAAACAAAAATATAATAAAACAGAAATAATAGTAATTAATTTAACAATAAACAATCACTTTTCTAATGGACTGCGCTCAAGACAGAGATAACGAAATAGCTTCTGTAGAGGTTTGGGGAATTTGGTAAAAGGTTGATGTTGACTAGTAACCGTACATTAGAAAATATTCAATAACTATCACTGATCAATTAAATAAAATTAAAATAGTAAATTCAGCTATCGTTATAACGAGCTATGAAACCCTGCATCTTCTAACACTATGTAAAAAGTGATAGCTGAAATAACAAAGACATGTCAAAAATAACTTAAGGTTGTAACGTAAGTGAAGATGTTTAAAGTAACACAAAAGAGAAAATGTTTTCTCCGCTGTTTTGTTTAACACAGAAGCGTATTAAACGAATTGAATCCCAAATATTCTCCATGATATTAAATCTCGCGGCTCTAAATTACACTTGCTATATCTATAGTCGTAATACCAATTTAATTTGAAAGCGAAAAAATGTTACCAAGGAAAGGGGTACGCCGTTTAATATCTCTAAGCAATTGACAATCCATCTCTTTATGTCGCCCGATCTCAAAGGGGAAATAAAAATATATTTCCATTGCAAATTCGACTAAGTTTGATTTCGATCGAGGTCTTCGGAACTCGAAAGAAATAAAATGCAAATTGTAGAAATGTTTCTTAGCGGTCCTGTAATGCTATTCCGGAGACTTTTCTAGAAGCAGAATGTTATAAATACAGTATTATTGACTAGTGTAGCGAAACGGGAAGCCTTCGGCGGGTTCGGTCGTCCAATGGTATTGAAGTATGACTAATAACCAAAGGGACCATTTATATATTTTTTAAACCTTTTTGAACACGGGTAAGGATGTATAAATTCTCTCTGTCGATAGAGAAAATTTTATGATGATAACTGTAAATCTGATTTCATGTTTCAGTCTATGCATATTTACAAGCCGTTATAAGGCTGGGGTTGATGAAACATGAAATACCATTAAGTGAATTGTGTAAGGCTTTCACGGCCATCGTTCAGCATATCATTGTCTTTCGGGCTGTTCGGCCGATGTGAGCGAGAAGAGGTTCTCGACGTTTCGCCATAACGTGTGGACGGTATCATCAGGATATATTAACTCCTCGATTGCCCGAAGAATTAACGTCGTGAACCTCTTCTCGCTCACATCGGCCGAACAGCCTGAAAGACAATAATATACCATTAATGGTTGGTCCCAATATTCAACTAACATTTAACTAGAAGTGACAATCGTAAGTGACAATTAAAATTCTTGAAGTTTTGCGTTTCAATATTCAATTTTCAACAATTGGTTGCAACTGACTATTGAGAGGGACAACTTCTTATCATCGATAGGTTACTTCATACAAAATAGAATTTAGGCGTTATAATAACACACTGACTGATAACTATTGTTTACAATGGCGACAAACTGTTACAGATTTGGCAACCCGCCGATTTTAACGGATTTCCGAAAGATTACGAAATGATTTACAGGCGTTAATAGCTTCTGATTATTTTCATAAACGTAAGAAAAAATGAAATTGTTTAATGATAAAAGTGACGTTGAAATATTTGAGGTCAAGTTTATTGTTGTATTGTATAAGACTATTTAAAAAGATTTTATACTGTTTAGGAATAGAGGGGTTTCCGTTCTTTTTAATTGTATACGGGAGTATCTATCACCAGGTTCCTTGTCATTCTAATCTATGCTAATGTTAAAAAGCTGAAGAATTTGTTTGTTCATTTGAGCGCACTGAGATTAGTGTGTTCGAATGAAAAAAAATGCGTTGGTTTAAAAATTTATTGAGTAAGGCTTTAGGCTATAAACATCGCGCTAATTATTTTGCCTAATACACAGACTCTTCTACCAGCGTTTTCAGTTGCAGCACCGAATTCACTTGAGATGGACCTCCAAGCTTCCTCCTTTAACTTGTCGATCGTTGTGTTTATAGCGTTTGAATGACTGGATACTTAGCAATTAGCGTATCTAGAAAAACACAATTTCATCTTTACTCATTTGATTGGCTTTTATTCAAAGATATCTTTCAATTAAAATCAACTCAATCATGTTAAATTATTATAATACTTTTTTAATACTTACAGTTACTTTAAGTTTTACTGTTTATCAGGGATGGCTATCCATCATTGACTGACAATACGTTATTGGGACCGGCCGTTAGTGAGTTCCATGCCTGTTTCTTGAATTTGTTGTTGATACTCTGTCGTTTAA